TGGAATGGACTCAAAAATATTGATATAAATTTTAGTAGTAAACCCTCTATACCGTCAAATTTTTGTGATCCCGATGCGATTAATGACTACTTTATGAGCGTGTACTGTGCTAATAATATTCCCGAAGATGTAATTCAATTTTATAATCGAAATAAGTTTCACCCAAACAATAACTTTTCTCTAAGAATTGCCGAACCGTTTGAAGTATTTCAGGCAATAAAAAGCTTAAAGTCGGATGCTAAGGGCATCGATACCTTATCTTTAATCATGATTAAAGTCAGTTTGCCTATAACGTTTGCTCATATTGTACATCTAATCAATTCATGTATTGAGCAAGGCTACTTTCCCACTATGTGGAAACATGCCTTAGTTATTCCTATCCCTAAAATTAACAAACCAACCCAGCTTTCAGATTTACGACCAATAAGTTTATTGCCGGTGTTATCAAAAATCTTAGAAAAGATCGTTCAGATTCAAATAACTGCTTACATTGAAGAATGCAAAATCTTATCCACTAATCAGTCTGGTTTCAGAAAACACTATAGTACAACAGCTGCCTTATTAAATCTATGAGACAATGTGCTACGTGCGCTTGATAAAAAGATCACAGTAGCTTTGATATCGGTTGATTACTCTAAGGCATTTGATAGAATCAATCATATCCTTCTTCTAGCTAAATTGAAATATATTGGCTTTGATAATACCTCACTTAAATTTTTCTGTGCGTATTTAACCGACCGTGTTCAGGAAGTTTCTCTATCTAGACAGAGCTCTGTCCCAAGTGTCATACCATCTGGAGTGCCTCAGGGTTCTATCCTAGGTCCTCTCTTATTCCTCATCTACACCTTCGATCTATATGCAGTAATGGAAAATTCTGAAATGCAATCTTTTGCAGACGATACCCAAATAGTACATTATTTTAAAGCTAGTGAATTACCAACAGCCAATATAGAGCTACAACATGATATTGACATGGTTTGTAAATATTCAGCCGATCATAATTTATTAGTTAATCCTGAGAAGTCAAAAATCATAGTTTTCTGTTCTGATAATAAAAGAAACTACGTAAAAGGTAACCTTAATATCTTTATTGACAGAAATCTTCTTCAGGTTGGTACTACTGCCAAGATTTTAGGTGTCGAGGTCGATGAGAAGTTAAGGTTTTATAATCATATCAACTGTCTTGCTCAAAAAACCTACCTCCGCCTACGCACTTTGTACTCTTGTAGGTACTTACTGAACTATAAGCTCAGGAAAAAACTCTGTGAAACGCTAGTGATGTCTTGTTTGAACTACTGTAACATCCTTTATTTCCCATGCCTTGACAAAATAACGAAAAATAGAATTCAAATTATACAGAATAATTGTGTCCGTTTTATATGTGGATTGAGAAAATTTGACCATGTATCACAGAAATACAGTACGCTGAAATGGCTCAAATTTGATAAATTGGTCGAATATCACCATCTAATATTTATTCACAAAGTAATAACCACTTCAAAGCCTGCCTACTTGAGAGAAAAAATTCTATTTAACTTTGTTGTTCATGATCGGTTGCTTAGAGATAGGTTGAGTATCAGAATTCCGCCTCACTCTACAGTCTTATTCACCCGCAGTTTTTCTTATAATTCGGCAGTTCTATATAATTCGTTGGAATATTCCTTTAAATGTATGAGCTTAGCAAGTTTTCGTAAGCATGTAAGGATCAGGCTGCTTGACTGATACTATCCTTTCCACATTCATCATCCAATCAGACTTTATATTTATTACGTTGAGAAGCTAATATTATTATTAGGCGCATGATATATATGTATATATAGGTATGTGTATGTGTGTGTGTATATGTGTATATATGTGTGTATGTATGTATGTGTATGTATATGTATGTACATGTGTATATATATATATGTATATATGTTTTGAATTTAATTAACATCACTGTATTTATTGATTCAGCTGGTTAAGTGTAAGAGTAGCATTGCTAAACTTCGCCAGTTGAGTCCCACTTTCAGTATGTACCATGTACATATTTTTTTGTAATAAAGGCGTATATTATTATTATTATTAATTTGTACGAGAGAGAAGCGTGTATCGACACGTTAGAAAGAGATAGATGCCGGCTGAAACGCGAAGGTCTAGCAACGGCGACGCAGAAGCTCGTGCAAGCTTCCGTGTTGCCAAAATGTTAAACTAGAAAATGTTCGCACAGGCTTCTACAATAGGTTAGGTTACAGTCAAACCTAAGAAGGAGGCCTACTCGAAGCAGGGCGACACTCCTCAATGAGCGCTATATGGGTACTGACCGAAATCGCTCGTCTGTGATCATGGAGGTGGAAACCTTGCCTTTGAGTGTACATTAATTCAAGGAGCTGATGTAACATAATGGCAACGAGGCACAGATTGCCGCGTCGGCGTTGATATGCAATGCGGTGATGAGCTTCGCTATCCAGCCGGCTTCTATCTCTTTTTAACATATGTGTCTATAGACACTTATTTCGAACACATGAACTCAACCCGTCAAACTATTTTGGTTTTCTGTAGAGATTAATGAAACATGAAACGAGGACCAGCGGCAGTTATGTTCTCTAAGCACAATGACGCTTATGGTCAAATGTCATGTGAAGGTGTCGTGTGATCCGAGCATATCAACGACATCCCATCCCTAATACTTTTGACACAGTGTTTCTTGATGTACGATTATTATATAATTTTTGTAGGATAACCGGGAGAGGAGAGAGAGGTTGTCTCCCCGTTCTTCAATTTTCAATAGTCGGTAACCCTCTTCCCCGTTTTCCTGTTGTCACAAAATCACAAGAACGTTCGTCAGCAATCCCCCCACCTCGACCTCTGGATCCGCCCCCCTGTAAACGAACTTAGTTTCGTTAATATTACACGTATCTAACAACCCCCCATCCTCAATCTCCGCTTTTCAATGAATTCTTAGAGTATTATTATGTCTAACCTCCCTCATCACCGCTCTTCAGTTATCGTCAACAGGCAGGCTACTTAGGCGCTTAGGCCAGTCACTACTTTACCTCCCCGGGCAACAAATCCATTCCAATCTCTATCCTTGTGTTTTATGGTTAGACTTCTAGTTAATTTGGATTGGCCCCTGCCGGGATTCCCTATCTTTATCTAAATTTCTGAATGTAAAGATATCAAATATGACGTTTGTTTTGGTTAATATCGAGATTATCAACGCTGATGCTTTAGGAGATATTTAGTAAAAAATGATCACAAAATATAAAACAACACTATCAGTACCTGTAATAGTATACGTGAAATGTATTATGACCATTGTGAGGGATGCAGAAGTTCAGGAGACACTGTCATGTCATAAAGTGCTACAGGTAATCTCTGAACTTAACATATCGGAATGATGTATTGTTTATTTAAAATTGCATGTCTGGATGCAGCCTCGTTATAATACTTGTAGTTGGCACCGTTGTATTAAGTATGAAAGGCCAACAAATTGAAGGGATAGAACTGACCAAACTAATGAACAGTGACTAGCTTATTTACAAAGAATTATGGACTACATTATTGTTTTCTGTATTGTTTCAGAATTTTAAGAAGCGATACAATGAAGTGAGACACGTGTGTTTTACAACACTCAACATGGATTTGAAATAAATCTATCTATATTTTCATGTAATACAATTTCTATACCATCGTCAACAGCATTATGAAAATTTTTTGAAACTAAACAAATTTGGTGCTTCATAATAATTATTAGGGTTGGATTTTATTATGCTGAACCTTTTTCTCAGTAAAATTGTTGAAAGATATATTACCCTTATTGGGGATATTTTTTTGAATATATGTTCATGAAATAATCCTTCAATATCGGAAATATCATTTTCAGCAGATTTCAAACTATGAACAAACGAAATTCCGGGCAGCCCGGCACATTCCTAGCTTTCCTTATTCCAGGCCCATTCTCGGCATTCTTTCGAAAGTTTCTCCAGATCTCCAGGCAAGTAGGCGGAGCAACCATCTGACAAAACGTCAACGGTACTGCCATTGTTTAACGTGCAGCTCCCACTTCTTCAGTCTTATGTGTTTTGTGGTGTGGTCCTTAGACCAATTTCAATAGATGTATTGCTATTACGTACATATGACTGATAGAATTCTTAATGGAAAGAGTTGTTACAAGATACTTGTTTAACAAGAGATTTCCGAGGGAAGAAGACCTACAGGAATAGGAACGTGTGTTACATTCAAGAAAACGATTGGGAGTGCTGAAGGTTGGGAAAAAATTATTTGTTTAGAAAAATAACATCCAACCGTATTTCTTTGAGATGAACCTGATCGGCGAGTCATGAAACAGCATCCATCAAATGAAGAACACACTGAAATATTTGGCAAAGATGCAAAAGCAACTTAAAACATTTATTCTCGAACACTTTGTCACGATACTGCCAAGAACTATCGCAACATAACTTGTGGTGTAAAAGCATTTCCTCTCACTATTTGAAGTACATATGTACATACCACCTTAAAGAATAAAGTTAACAATAATTGTATAATATTATTTTTCCGTATGACCCTTCTTTCACTTCTTTTCTTAGTTTTAAGTGTCAGTCGTCAAAGCTCATGAAACTTTTGAACGGTAGTGTATGTAGTTTCATTTAGCCAGATCAACATAGTATGGCTCAATATTTGCCTGCCGGCGTCAAAAATAGTGAAACTAGGTGGTATTTGACGAATCAGGCTGTGGATATAAGATTTCAGTTTTCTGCAATATAAGTTGTCTATCACGCTAAATAGTAACCTATACTTAATGATTCTGCATCAAGAAATATTAGATAAAGAGTACAAAAATATGATCGACGCTCTAGCAAAACAAGAGACAAAAGTGATAGTAGTCCTCCAGATTCAAAGATATTTACATTATCGACTAGATATGGGTTTTCGATATGATATTACATTAATCCATGTGAATATAATGAAACATTTAGAATTTTGAATTTATCTTACGATCATATCTCACATTAATATGCGTATATCAGTCCGCGTTTTATATTTTTAACCAGATAGACGAAAGTGATGGTAATGATTAATTTAACTGATAAGAGATAACAGAAAATATGTACTTGTACGAATCAGGTTAGCATTCGATATAACGATGGTGTATCAATAACAGGTAGATGAAGTGCGTAAAACAATAATAGTGACTTGCTTGGAGTACATCAGTAAGTATCACGTTTTCACTACTAAATTAGTCTTTTTTAGTTATAAGAAAACTTTGTAATTCAGGGTAGTCGTAGAACAACAAACAAAGCACAAATTGTGAACTGCACTGAACAAGAGTGAAATCAGAACCCATAATAGCAGATACATTTTTGTGGCTACAAGATTCCGATATTAAAAAAGTATACGATAGAAGGTGTAAAATAAAACTTTGCACAACAATCGTCAAATCACTAGTCAGTTTTTTTTAGTAGCATAATTCGCTGGTGGGGGGAATAAGTCAAAAGAACATATTTCGAGAAAACTCAATCTAAAGGAATGTATCAATTAAATTGTTCATTTTAGAATATTTCTATTAACTTTTCTGATGGAAACTTATTTGTATGTTGTGTGACAGTACTAAACATAAAATTTATGCCAAAGTAATGTAATTAATCATTTTTGCACAGCAAGTTTGACATATATCCTTCTGCACTATACAGAACGTAAAGGAAAATAAAGTGCACCTGCTTCTTAAAGACATTTTATTCAAAAAAGGCTTACAAACAGACAAAAATATATTATGCCAAATATTCTTCATCCAAGGAAGCATCTGGAAAGACATCAATTTGACCACTAAGTCTTTAATTTTTTATAAAAGTCGTAATGTCGTTCTTCGTTCTGAAATATAAGGAAGTAGGTCAAGCAGATGTTGTTTCTTTTCTACGAATATTGGCACAGGTTTCTTGTATATATTATCTGGATCCAGCATCACTTCTTGCTTTGATCATATCTTTTTTTTTTAGGTTAAGAGTCTTAAAATCCTCAATCTCACTTGTGTTTTGTATAGCAATGTTCGATTACCTTTTACGTATCGAATCCACTTCTCTCCAGTTAAATTTGCCGCCTATTATATTCTGTTTTCTGTTTATTAATTACTTGGAATATAATCCAGCAACATTTAAAAATTGTGATTGTTCCATTTGATATACCACAAAAGGTTTCTTCTCACCTACTAGGCGTATGAGTTGAGCTAAGTCATGAAGATGTTCAATTTTCAAATCGGTTTTTCTCTTTCTCGTCTCAATTAGGCTGTGTTCTGTGTCAGCCTGCATATGTGTATGGCCAGGTAACAAAAACTTATGGTTAATGATAGTCAAATTTAAACAATTTTCCAATGCAGTTAGACAAGCAGCAGAAATATATGTGTTCTTATTCTGGCCAGGGTACATAACGATGTGAGAAACTGAAGTATTGAGATTCTTTTTTAAGTAGTGAAAAGATCATGAACCTATCTCATTATTAACCCTCTTCGCCAGCGATTCAAACCATAAGTAACAAAACGCTTGAGAATCATCAGTCATGAACTGTGAGATTGTAAGTCCACAGTTCACGCATATAAAATGCGTCTCCACTTTGTATGTCTGGTGGTGGCAGTCAATACTTTAAATCAAAGCAAGTAGTTTTCACGTAGGGTCTGGACTTAGAGGAGTGTTTATCATCCCGTTTAGCATTATATTCTTCATCAGCTCGTTGATTATGCTTAGTCCAATATTGTTCCATTTTGGCATTTTCTTCTTCCGACTTGGCCATTGTCAATTGCATTTGGAGTTTGACGCAAGAGCATCAAGAATCTTTTTTGGTTGCTTTATTTTTATGTTTAAACTGTGGAAGATTTCTTCGTAGGCTCTCCGATTTATAAAGTTTGTAGGATGTTCCATTTTATAGGCCTGGTACAACGACGCTAATATATAGTGCTGTGGCAAATATTTCTTTGACGTTTGGCTTTGGCTTTTTATTTGTCTTTGTCAGATATCTTGCTTCTGTTAGCGTGAGACCCTCTACCATCTGGTGGCATAATTCTGGATTCACTGACTGATGTCAAATGTACTGAAACACCCTTTGCATGTACGTTGTTAGTTATTGTTTATTCTAAGGTGGTACACTGCAGTATGAATACGTCTTTTATTGCTACCTATCTCACGAATTCTAGTAACTTTCATGGGGTTGAGTCAGATATATTGTCGGTGAAAAGGAGATAAGCCTACTTATCTTCTTAGAGCACGCCCCATAACTATTATAATTCTGTGAACAAGGCGATAATATGAATTGACTTTCTTTACACTGGATAATTCTACAATTTTAACGACATAACTCGTTAGTGCATTAGCTATATCTTCGCACCTGGAGCTAATATGACTTATCCCGCTTTACACTCACAAAGATGGACGTCTATAAATTCGGTATATGACTTATTCTCCTTTTACCAAAATAATGACTTATCTCCGTTTTCACCCCTTCAGCGAATTGTGATCATGATTACGATACACTGAAATTTTATAGGTTGACCAAATATGGGCGAAAAGAAGAAAGATAGTCCTTTGGATGCGTAAGTTTAATTCAAGTTAATCTATAATTTGTGTTCGAATTGTGTAACAGATGTTAAGTTGTCACTGCTCTTAAGTAACCAAACTTAACAAAAGCATTCGCCTACTCTAATATTTTGGACATGTAGTTTTGCAATGATAAACTTAAGTAAATGCCATTAAAGTTTTATGGTGAATGTTTTAAATGGTAGATTACTTATTCTGTGTAGATACTGTAGAAGGACGTACCTCAGTTGGCGTACCGAATGTAACAAAAGTAACGAAACGGCTTTGTATCTCCCCAGGAAATGTATTTTTGAATAAAGCGAAGGTCAGATCTATACTAGCTTCGGACAAGGAGTTTAATGGGGCCTTGATTTGACCTTGAGCCTCACCGTCAAGGTTAACTGACAAGGTCAGTATTGAAATCCTTATTAAAAGTTACTAAGGGTCTTACCAAAGTACAGCTACACCAAGAGCAAACAGGCGAATAAATAAGAGAGAGATAAAAAATGTATCCTAAAACATGGAGTCGACAAAACAGCTGAGATAGTTAATACTTTTTCGATTAATTCATTTTCCAACAGTCGTAATGAAAGCATTTTTTTCAAATTTAGTTTTTTCAGGATATTTATTCGTGGTTGAGGTAATTATTTTTCATTCAATAAAGTTATAAATAAATTTTACGCAAGTGCCCTTCGGAGTTATTCTCAAAACCTATCTAACTTTTAGTGAAATACGCGGAATATTGCACGATTTAGTTCAGTAACACAAGACGAATGTCAGATTAAAATTTGAATTTTTTATAACCTCAAATTGCTTATTTTACCAATCGTCGGTTTATTCTACATAGTTGCTATCTATCTAGACACACTGGCTTTAACATGATATGTTTACTTAGTTAATATCCAACAAAAATCATGAACTCAATTTAGCTGCGTATAATTGTAGCGTTTCCTAAACATTTTCTGTCAGTTTGGCAACACCTCGGTAAATATAGAGTCCCCTATAAGCGAAAGACGTGGATCCTTGTCAGAATGTCGAGATCTATGAGCTAATCGCCATATCAAGGAAGGTCTGTTCATAGGTTGCTGTTTTTTTCTGTCAACCAGAAATAGTCCAATAGCCGATCGCAAAGGTTTTAGTACATCATCGCGTACTGATATAATATGCTTAAAACTAGTCAGATATCACGTATTTTCATGCTAAACATCAAACTCGGCAGATTTTTTTGTACTTTCGTCCACTCACTCAAAGGTAAGGCTCATGGTCCAATCCAAGATTACAATTGAACTTCTTGTTCAAAGTTGGTAAATACCTGACATTGATCTTTTTCCAAAATACCTTACCTAAAACAATACAGAGCGGTTTTGTTATTTTCGTTACACTAGGTATGTACTTTTGTATAAAGACCAAATATTGAACAAAAAGTATATTTTCAATCCATACATCTATTACGATTAGATTATGGTCAAGACCTTTATTTAAGAAGTATATGAACATTCTGTTCCAATGTGGTGAGAATTAAAACATTCTTTTACAGAAAGTTCACTGAGAAACAGCCCGGGGAACAAGTAACGAGTGTAACATTTTCTCAATTGGTAAGCAAACAAATGTGTAAAATATAATTCCTCAGTGTCCCTTTGAATGTGTATCTATTATCTGGAACTTGAGCATCTTTAACTTTCAAAGGAATGATCACGGGCGCCCGCAGCGGGATGCCAGAGGGGCTGTGCTTACTAATGTGAAGCTGGCTTAAAGTTTACATATTTAGTATGATTTTGCGTACAGTTTTGGGGATTTTCAGGATTTGTCCTACCCTTGAAGAGAGCAGGCACATTTCCAAAAAAAGATATCGCTTGCCAGCGATTGACCTCAAAAAAAATATTGCGGGCGCTCATGGGAATGACTCTTTCAGAGTAAAGGTGGATACAGTAACTTACAAAAACTATTGTTTTTAGTACAGGTACGCCACTGGCCTCGATAAGTTTCTGCTGTTTTCTGGAGTAATTTTCACACTGGTAGCTGGAGGAATTCAAAGCTACACTCCCGTATTATTTGGCCAAATTACAGGTATTTTTCAAAAGACTATAAGACTATACAGGGGAGGCTAATAAAGTATCTGGCAAAGCCTCAAAGTTTGATCCATATTAGAGAGTATTTGGCTAACATTTTTGTTCTTAGCAACTTGCCATTACTCTCCTTACAATTGTGCAAGTATTAAAAATAGCAGCCTTTTGCATCTTGGTAATCAACGGTTGCTTGCTTTAGATACAGTTTCACTAGAGATTTTTTTAAGCTTAGAGGAATTATGCCAGAGGCGGATACTATCATCGGCAATATTTTTACTTGTGCAAAGCCCCATTACTCTTTGAGGTTCTGAGCTATCGCCCTATATTTCTCTACCTTGCTCCTGGGTAAAGTGGTGCTTAAAAACAAGTGCATGATGAACTATCTTTCCTACAGCATCATGTCGTCGTTATAAGTCTGTAGCTGCTAGTGTGCTGCATCCTCCTATGACGGTTTCTCCAACTTGGCCACATATTCTTCAACTATGTTTGGATTCTTGACAACATATTTGAGGTAATTCCTTGAAGGTATAACTTGGTCCTGGATGGCGATGATGTATCCTTCAGATTCTGGGAAAAGTTGGCCAGCATATAAATAATGAACTGACCACCTGTTATCAACACTTTCAGAGTCTAGAATTGCAGGGTATCTTTCATGCAAAGCCTTTCTCTTCCAGGATTCTTTTCTATCTTCTATGGTCGTCATAGTCAACAAGGTTTCGTTTCAGAGGTGTATATCTGTCATCCGAAATGCATGTAGCATTATGCAAGAAGGAGCACACTGACTTTCTGAAAAAGTATGAGCGCATTGACAGTATTTGTGTAGTATTCATGACTATCAGATTAATAAAGCTCCACCTTCACTGCGTGGAATATATAGTCGATCTGCAGAAATTCTCGGGTGGTGGTTTCTACACAAAGTCATCTGTACTCTTACTTTCTCGTCAAGTTCCTCAAGATCGGTCCGACTCCACTCCCATTGTATATACAATTATAAGGATAACGTAAGTGTTAATGGCTGATGTGAAGTTCTTCGAGACGAGAGATGTCTTGAGTACCTGTTCAAGCCTGCTTATAAGCTCAACTTTAAGGTGCTCATTAATTTTGGTGTGTTCGATAGTCCTACAGTGTTGTAATCCAAGATACTTATAAACATCGTCCGAACCCAATGTACCTATCATTTCATCCTGGGCTGCACGATATATTATGTCCTGGCTGAGTTTTGCTTTAGTATGGTTTGCATTTATCAATACCAAACTTCATGCAAACATCATTCGAGAAGGTTTCCGTTGACCTCAGCTGCTCCTGTAGGCCCTGCTTCGTCCTCACGTAAAGGTTCAAGTCATCTATGTAAAATATTATTAAGATTGTTTTTATTATTTATTGTTGTCATTATTATTATTATTATCCACACGGTATTTTTCTCCTCATTGAGGTGACATTCACTCATCCCAGATGCGTACGACATCAAAGGGTATGAGTTTTATCGCAGTTAGTTACGTTGGATGTTACTTTTCGCATTTCCGTTGAACTTCCGAACTGTACGCAGTTACCAACAAATCCCCTTTCTGCATCGTATTGTAAATATTGTCATTGAGTCTCATTTTCTTGATATTCTTCAGCGGCGTTCTTGGGATTACTCCGGTTGATGATAGAATCATTGGCATAATATCAACACTGTCCTCCTTCCATTGTTGTTTGATTTGAAGATCGAGCTCCCTATGCTTCGTAATTTCTCTATTATGCTTTGTATGTAAGTTGAGATTGTTCAGTATGGCGATGTCGATGAGGCTTGTTTTACTTAGTTCCTTATTGACAACAATTATATCTGGACTGTTATGTCTCGTGTGCTGGTTGGTGAAGACAGCGCAGTCCCAATATAGCTTACATCCGGACTATGCCATCATCATCAGGAGCTACAATGACAATAGGAAGAAATAGCAACTACTGTATGTGAGATTGTTGCTAAATGTTAATAAAGGCTAAGTTGAGGGAAACATTTGACAACCTGGTAAAAGCGGGATCTATGATACATTCGTTAAAATTGATAAGAAACACACACAGCTATCTATATGTCAGGAACACATAACAATGGATTAAAAATATTTGGAATGAAAGTTAAAATTATTGCATGTTAATGTTATTGTAGCCTCTGATGATGATGGCATAGTCCGTCGAAAGCTAGAGACTAATAAAATATAAATAGTCCTCATCGCTTGAATTTTGTCGAAGTACCCAACTAAAGGCGGAAGCTGAATATATATATATATGTATACAAAATACAATCAATTGTTAATTGGGAAATTGTCAAAATTTTTAGGCTTAAGTTGACTCCTTTAACGATAAAACCAAGCTTTCGGCGTTCTCTATGGAGCCTTCATCAGGATTCTGAAAACACAATTGTGATGCTAGCAAAGAAAACAGGACAAATTTAAATTGTCAAACAACTTACTCGTCGTTTAGGTTGCAGCCACAAGGTGTTTCAAAACGAACGTAGAGAAGATAGAACTCGTAATAAGTATAAAAACAAAAGGACGGAGACATTGGGCCTGTTGATAACGACAGATACCTTCGTTACATGTTACATTTTAGTGAAACAATCGGAATGCAGTCCCTAACCTCCTACTTCCGCTACACGTGGAGAGGGGGACAGCACGGAAAGATAATGCGTCGGCAGATGACAAGTGATTGAGGCGACGGACCGTGGAACTGTAAACCTTATTGTCCAATTTTGGTATGAAGTATACGAGGGACGCTGTATGGCAATACTTGAATAACAACATCAAGCAGGTCATCCATTACATATTCTGCCAAAATTGGAGACAACACAGAGCCCATGGGGCAACCATGTGGTACACTCATATTAACTACACATTTTTCCAAAACAAATTAATTCAGCATTTTAGTCATTTGGGTGGAGGTTTACTGAGCGTCCCTCGTATACTTCATACCCAAATTGGACAATGAGGTTTACAGTTCCACGGTCCGTCGCGTCAATCACTTGTCATCTGTCGATGCATTATCTTTCCGTGCCTTCCCCCTCTCCACGTGTAGCGGAAGTAGGAGGTTAGAGACTGCATTCCGATTGTTTCACTAAAAGGTCTTCTCACATGTAATAATTTTCAATATGTTCGAGTGTATTGATATTCTTAACATGTAACGAAGGTATCTGTCGTTATCAACAAGCCCAAGGTCTCCGTCCTTTTGTTTTTATACTTATTACGAGTTCTATCTTCTCTACGTTCGTTTTGAAACTTAAGCCTCAAAATTTTGCCAATTCCCCAATTAACAATTGATTGTATTTTAAGCCCAACTGGTCGTTGGCTTTGGCAATGACCACTTCTCATATATATATATCATTTGATCTATCAGCTTGAATTTGTAAGCCAGTTCCTAGGATTTTGGTCGCTATGTCATGACTTTATAGTTGCACCTACCGTTGTGTTGAGGAGCTTTGAGGATGTACTTCTTATAGTTATTCATTGCAATTATCTGATCTTGTACTGTATAGCCATAAGAAAGTTTTCACTCTCTGGAGACATTTGCCCAGAAGTGAGCCAGTTGTTTAACGCGATAGTGCGAACAGTTTCTTGGCTCACCTGATGGACATACCTTCCATGTAGAGTCTTTTCGCTCCTTTCCGCATCAGTTTTCATGTTAAAATTGAGAATCCATATTGCTAACACACAAGGATGTTGTGTTGTATATAACACATATGACAAAATGCAGCCTTTCCATGAAGAAGAAAGTTAGTTCCTTGTTGTCTCAGCAATGTCGATCAACCCTCTTCCGCCTAGATGGCGAGGCAGAGATAAGCGTTCTATTGCGCTGCAAAAGTGATGGTTGTTTGCCCTTGTGAGCAGGGTTCTTACCTTTGTTTCTATGTTTTCGACATCGGTGTTACTCCACTCGACTATTTCAAAAGAATAGGTGAAAGCCGAACATATAGAGGTGTTTATGGCTTTGAATAGATTTTTACTGTTTAGGTCTGATTTTAGGAGCTCTCACATCCTCTTCATAAAGTTGTCTAGTAGGACTATTTACATTTTCTGGTGATCTATCTTGTGAGCCTAAGCCATTCCAAGATACTTAGGTATACGTATCATTTGTGTCAATCGCACCGATATTTTGACCATTATTAGACTGATATGTTCATGGGCAAATCGTTTCCTTGCATACGGATAGCGTCCTGGTTTTGTCCAGCCCGAGCTGCATGCTTATGTGTTCCGAGATCTGTTTCACAATTTTGAGTAGCCGACCGATTTGGTTTCACGTATGTAACAAGTTGGAAAAGTATGGATACGGATTGACTTTTTCAATAGACTGTCACATTCACCCTTTAAAAAAACTAGAAATAATTAACCCTAATGGCCATTCGTAATTGGTCATGTAGAGCATTATTTTCGCATAATATTCTTCCAATTCCATAATTCCACGATTTACAGTCACGCAAACTTCAAAGTAATATAATGATACTAAAATCAACTAGCACTCTATTCCTCTTGCCGCCTTGTTGTCACTGCTTGAAGTTTTTGGCATGTTGTGAAAGGGCAATGTAACTTTATTTAGGGCTTTGGTACCCGAGGCATAGCCACTTTTCCCGAGACCCACTTTTTATTAAAACGCGAGTAAATGTTTGAATTCGTCCACTTTCTACTATACTAGTTGAAACGCTGTCCGCATGGTGGCGTCTAGGTAATGCCACTCACAAATTCATCTAGATAGCCGAATTTGGATTCATTAAATGAGGGGTTTGGATTTTATTAGCGCAAGACCTATTGAGGTTTTTGCTTGGCCAGATACTTTATTAATACCCTGTATGTCGTCAAATACTTGAACGAACGTTATTTTTTTAAATAGTTAAGTGAGAATGTATGTGTTGAGTATCAGCTGGTATGTGTTATAAATTTTGGTTAAATGTAATCATCATTTGCAGGTAATATTATATCGTACGTCCAAAATACACAGTATAGCAACATATCAGACGAAATATGGCAGGCTGCCACAGACGAATTCATGGATCAAGTCACATCCTTCACATATCTTTACGTAGCTGTGGGAGTTGTCCTACTTTTGTGCAACTATACATGTACAGTTGCTTTCAACTATTCCGCAACTCGACAGGTAGAGTAAGAAAATAGTAACTTGAGTAATAGGGATACTTCTTAATCCACCCAGCTTCAAAGATCCAACCTATTATATGATAACATAGAATCGAACATACATTCAGAATGACATATCCCTATAGTAGTTATTACAACGACTTACAAGTATTTCCTATTTCATAGGACGCTCTTGTTTTTCATCCAACTTCCAGGTTCAATATCCTAAAAGCGTTGCTACTGATAAAAGAACATGCATTGAATCTTCTATCGTTACTGTTGGAAGAACCTTGGGAAGAAGAATTTCATATGATCCAATCCTGAATGATACCTTCATTTTTGTTCAGATCTGTAATTTTATCATGGGGAAAATTGATTGTTTGATTATGTCTTTTCAGATATTGAAGATACGTGATCTCTACTTGAAAAAGGTATTCAATCAAGACATTTCCTGGTATGATGTTCACCAAACTGGAGATTTTTCTAGCAGAATGACAGAGTAAGTGGAAGGCATTCAAATAAATGCGTCTTACGGCAGGACACGCTCTTTTGATCCGTACTGTTTTTCAGGGATTTGTACAAGCTTGAAGATGGAATAGGAGAGAAAGTACCAATGTTCCTGAATTTCATAGCCATCTTCATTGGTTCTCTCGTGATAGCACTTATCAAAGGATGGGAGCTTGCACTTATCTGCCTGACATCACTCCCTGTATCAGTTATTGTATTCGGATTAATTGCTTGGGTAAGTAATCCCACAATGTACTTAAGTCTAATTAATGCCCCGCTAAAACAAACACCAGCGCGATGCTCAAATTTAGCGCTTCTATTGGCCAGCAGGCCATAAATGCCTGAGTAGGCAACGACAAGCAAATTGAAGTGGCTTGTACTCATGTTTGCTTTGACGCAGATTAAATGAAGTATAAGTGGGCTTTAGGAGCTATGATATGAATCCTCAGGGTATCTACCATTTAGCAATAAGAAACATCAGAAAGAAAAGTCGATGAAAATTGGTGCATCATTTTGGCTTGAAGAACATTCATATTTTGGTAATATACAGTTAACAGCTTACACAGGACTTCATCAGTATTATTTTTGGTCAAGCTGTATGAACATTCATAGCAAAAATAAAACGCAGCACTGGTATAGTATCTCTGATACCAATTGAAACAACAAAAAAACCGGAGCCACAAGAAAGAGGTGTGAAATTCAATATATGATAGTTTAGTGGTACAGCAGGCATGAGAAGCGCCAGATCTCTTGTTATGGGCTTAGGCAAGGAACACTACAGGATACTATTTGTATTGCGACGATGACTGTAGTTGTTACGTGGTCCCTTCGTGTACAATATGTACCTGTCATCAGTCATCATAATCAACATTGAATAAAAATTGTCAAAAATAAGAGGTATTCATGTCGCACATTATTCAATGACTATGGTATTATGTCAGAATTTTCCTTAAATAGTCACAATTGTGTTGTTTATGTTAAGTAAAATTTGAAACAATAGAGAAAAAGATTCCATGTACAATTTACGTCCAAACCAGAACCAACGCTGTGCTTATAAAATTGTATAACGCACTACCTGTGTGTATGAAGACGTCATAAAATGTGACAGTCTTTGTGCGAATGTAAGAAAAATATTTGTAGATAAGCCTTTCAACTGTATAGAGAAGAACTATGTGATTTAAGTGTCTTCATTTGCTGGGTATGCAATGTTCCAAAATGTTTTTTTTTGTTTTATTTTATACTCTGCGTGTTTATTTTTCCATTCTATTTTATTCTAAAGAACAGGAACTAATGCAAAATCTAAAACATTGATAATGGTAATGAAAATAGCAACGGGACGGTTAGCTTGTGTTATATTGAAATATGATTCATAGATATATTTTCGGTTTTGGTAAACAATAAAAAATGAAAGGAAAGAAATGGACTTAAAATCGATCATATTGTTTTTTGTACGTTTTCAGTTAATCAATAATTTTTAAATTAATTCTATGTTCGTTTCATTTATACCAACTACTACAGGGTGATTCACAAGTCGTGACCAAAAATGGAACATTATACACAGGACCGCATTTTAAGGGGGGTCTTCTATGTAACATTTATTCCTCGATGGCTTCATTGAAAAGATACGGGCTGTTGAAGTTTAAAAATAAAAATATATAATTTAATATCTTCAAAACCGTCAACTGGAATGAACTAAAATTTGATATGTGGATTTACCTAAGTAAAAGTCTTTACATAAAATTAACGTGCACCAGTGGCGGAGATACAGGCGATTAGTGGCATTATCTTTCCAAATAAAAATAGCACGCCATTTCAATTTGCTACAAATAATTGCTCCTGTGTTTTTTTCTAGAGTGCACAGTTTTCGTAGCAATACAAATAAAACAAATTAGATCATTCACCAATAGCCGAGATACAAACAGCTTCAAAATAGAATAGAAGGCATTGATACCAATTTGAAGTTTTTGAGAGACCGTTTGTCAAAGTTATGTGTTATACCGTTGTTATCGTTACTACTACCATTTTTTTTTTTGAAAAAGGCAAGTCAAAAGTTTTTTTCCATTTTTGAGTGTTGTGAAATGGAATTTAGCAATGCTGAGTTCGTCGATATTATTTTTGTGTACGGGTTCTCTAAGGGAAGTGCTTTAGATGCTTCTCGGTAGTATCATCGTACATTTCCGAACAGACGCCAACCTATCCCAAAGGTTCTTACGCGTTCATTTCTAAGACTTCGGCAATATGGAATCACCAAACTCAATTATTAATATATTATAATTTTGTATCGGAAAGTTTTACATACTGACCATCAGCGAAATGTTCAATGTCTGCAACCCGGCGACGAAGTGCAACGGTGGAATTTTTGTGAGTGGTTACTGCAAATGCATAATCAAAATGCAGATTTCATTGATTTAGTTTTGTGGCCAGATGAATTGCTTTTTACGAAGATTGGAACCTTTAATTCTCATAATGAACATGTTTGGTCGTTAGAAAATCCCAGTTCTGTAAGAATTCATTTGTTTAAACACAGATTCTCTAGAAATGTATGGTGCGGCATTTTCAAATGCCAACTGCTTATGCACGTATCGCCAAAACGTTTGAATGCAAACTCATACTTAGCTTTCTTAGATAATTACATAGAAAATGTGTTAGATGATGTTCGGTTGGCAACGAGAGTACGAATGTGGTATCAGCACGACGGTGCCCCACCGCATGTTGGTCGTGACAGAACCGCATGGTTAGATAATCATTTTAACGATGGATTGGCAGAACGGACTCGTACGTTTACCTGCGAGGTCTCCTGTTTTGAACCCCCTGGATTTCCTTTTGTGGGGCGCTTTTAAACAGCTAGTGTATGCTGAACAAATTAATACTGTTGATCAGTTACAAGAAAGAATAGATAATGCGTTTCATGAAATTCAAGCCACAACTTTAGCGGAAATTCGTTTTTATTTATTCCGTCAGAATGGTGAACTTTTTGAACATTTATTGCAATGAAGCTTTGATTATCTAATTTGTTTTTATTTTATTTTTACGTAAACAATGCACTCTAGCAAGAAACACAATAGTAATGGTTTGTAGCGAATTAAAGGTAAAATTAGAAAAATTGCGCGTTTCGAAAAAAAAACGGTCACGTAATATTTTTAATTGGAAAAATAACGCCACTAATCGTTAATTTTAAGTAAGGACCTTTGAATGTGGAAAATACTTAGGCAAATCCACATACAAAATTTTGGTTCATTTCAGTTGATGGTTTTGAATATATTAAAAAAAATTGTTCTTTATTTTTAAACTTCAACACCCCGTATCTTTTTAATGAAGCCCTCGAGGAAATGCGGTCCTGGGTATCAGGTTTCATTTTTGGTCACGACATGTTAATCACCCTGTATAGGATTTCACACCTTTTTTGGAGACTTCTACTTTTTGCTGCTTCAATTGGTATTGGAACGACTAGACCAGAATACAGAATGCAGGCCTGTGGAACTCTCCTGTGTGAATTATAACCACTGACTAAAGTATTCCACCAGAAGTTACCTAATCAAATTTAAAGCCGCGCCTGAGCGAAGATAATTATACTTTTGATACTATTACAGTTAACAACTAAATTGGCTCAAAAAGAGCTAGACGCATACGGAGCTGCTGCAGCGATCGCAGAAGAAGTTCTATCATCGATAAAGACAGTGGTAGCATTTAGCGGGCGACACAAAGAAATGATGAGGTATAACAGCCAGCTGACGTTCGCTAGAAAGAACAATATCAAGAGATCGATGTTACAAGGCTTAGCATGGGGATCGCTTTGGCTCATCATCTACAGTAGCTACGCCTTGGCGTTCTGGTATGGGGTCAAATTGATCTTGGAGGAGAAAGGATCGCCCCATCCTACGTATACCATTGAAATTATGATAACTGTAAGTACGGAAACATCGATCTCATCCAAATAGTATATATGCAGGATGTTATGAAAAATTTCTCGTAAGGTGAATGACATACAATTAGTGGTCCGTCATAGTCAAGGAAGTATCTATCATCTTCTCGGTAAAATATTCTGATTCGGTTTTTTCACATAATTTTATCCAAAAAGAACTCCTCTCATCTAGCCGGCATGTTGCCAAGCCCAAAATTATGAATTCGATTTATTTGAACAATTTTAACAACTGGTCTTTCACTGCGGGAAGGTCAATTAAATTTTAAAATTTCAAATTTTGGGTCGTTCTGAATAAGAAAAGCTTACTGTGAGCTTTCTTGTAGAGTTTCAAAAAGCAAGATTTAATATTAGAAAATGTGAAAAATATTCAATTTTCAAACCCGAAAGTCAATATAAAAATGGCGTCAGGTAGGTTGACTTTGCACTTCCCTAGCAACGCTGTCATCAGTTCATAAAGGATTATGTTCCGCATTAGGCCCTCTCAGAAATAAGTGGGCTACGAACATGTATAACATAAAAAAGAAACGGATCAAGTCAGTGAAATAGGCTCATACAGTTAGCACCAGTAGTTCGGGGAAATGATGTGTGACATATGTCGAATATGTGCGTAGAATTACCGGGGCTGGGAGCGTAAAAATATACTGATATCAAAAAATGTTTAAACCCTATTATTTTTTTTCCTGAAAATGATCAGGAACATCTGATGAAACACCAATAAAACGAAGGGTGGGCGATTACTATTTCTTCGCTTTTTGCCATGTAGTTTTGCCACCATTGGTTAAGTTTATTTGTCCTTCTTGGATAAGTCCCATAGACTGACAGATCGACAGACCGACAGGCCAACAGATTGACAGACAGACGCAAATAAGAGCCATGGTTTTTCGATGCGTGCATTCCATGTAACATCCAAAATATTGTAGTATCTCATTTTCGAAAATTTTCGCGATACTTCCTCGCCATTGGGTTAGAAATACAGTGAAACTGACAAATCCATTAGTTAATACTGACGGTACGGACCACCGTAAATACCGATCGTGTGACTTTTGCCTACACGTGAGAAAATTTTGTGAACCTTTACTCAATAAAATGTTCATTTTTTTAAAGAACTTTCTGGGATTGTTCTTGGTTTCTAGTCGCAGGCTTAAAACTTTGAGACACATGTGCTTCTTTCCAGGTTTTCTTCAGTGTGATGACTGGTTCAATGAACTTTGGTATGGCATCCCCATATATAGAAGCCTTCAGTATTGCAAAAGCAGCTGGTGGAAAAGTATTCTCAGTTATTGACAACGAGCCAGTTATAAATTTGTCAAAGGATAAAGGACAACAACTGGAAAATCTGAAAGGCAACATCACGTTCAAAAACGTGGAGTTTTATTACCCTGCTAGAAAGGACGTAACGGTAAGCAGACTTTGGTATCTATTACCCGTTATTTGTTTGAGCGGCTTGTAGGACCTTTGCCCCAGGGAAAAAGGAGGAGGGCAAAGAACAGAATTATATCAGCTTAAGAGGAAGAACCTAAACTTTTTGACTTGTTACATAGATCAACTAGAAGCAAATTTTGATTTAGGTTTTGTTAGAGTGTAATTTTGGGTCTACTGAAAGTTCGCGCTAATTTCTTATCACAGCGCGAGGCGTGATCTTGAATGTACCCGAACTTACTCCACTGTGTATTCAACTGCTCCCCTTTCGTATCTTACAGATATAATAACAAAAAACATAAATTCACAGACGTGAACATGATGATTACATATCTATATAAGACTACAAAAATAAGTTTCTGATATGTACTTAGTTTCCTCGGATTCCTGGGATATGTAAGTTCTAAGAACTGTTATTTCTCAAGTTATCAACATTTCGGCTTCAGTTTTTGCATTCTTCAGGGAAGAAATGTGGAAAAATACATTTGTATTTTTCTAAAATCGTAAATGAAGCATTAAATGAGAAAGTTCATACAAAAGGATTAACTAAGAAAGTACAACCACAAAAAAGCACGCAAAACCAATGAGAACAAACGGGTGTGCATAGTAAAAAGTTATCTTGTGGTTTTAGAAACTTCAACAATTAAAACAAATTAAAAAACATCGTATAGTTACATATTGAAAAAAGCAGTTTAGAAAACAGTCATATGGTAACTCACTATTAGGTTCACACGTTTATTGTATTTTTTGTTTGTTTTTACTGTGTGACTTTGGTATATTTTCTTGGTTAATTCCGTCAACTGAACTTTTTTATTTAATGCTCAATTATTTACGATTTTAAAAAAATATAAATGTATTATTTCAAATTTTTGAAATGGAAAAGGCGAAAAATAAACATCAAAACGTTGACAACATGAAAAAGGACACTTTTAACGCGTATGTATCCGAAGAAATTGAAAGACATCTTATTGTTTCAAAATTTAAAAGAGGCTTATAAATCCATAGTAAGGATCAGATTTCGCATTGTGTTAAATGATAGATTAACGTTTCCTACCTGAGGATAGTCAACCATATACTGTATTCAGAAGCTCAAAAACGAATTTGAAGGATGCAAGCGCCATCTATCAGACAGTAGCAGAACTAAACACTCTGACTCTTTTCAAAGTAAATTTAAATCAGTTTTGGTGTTCTGCTACTGTCTTATAGATTGCGCTAGTGTGGTTCAGATTGCTTTTTAGATTTCTACATGCTACTTAAGCTGTCTTACTATGGTTTTACTGATGCTGCAGTCAATTTGATAAGCTGCTATTTGTCTAATAGAAATCAAAATGTTAAACAGTTTCGAAAATGTCTCAGTCAACTGCTATAAGTTTTGGTGTTCCTCAAGGTTCCGTACTGGCGCCTTTACTTTTCTCTCTCTCTCTATATATATATAAAGAGAATATGATCATGCGGAGAAAGGTATATAACAACAAGTGGGAAAATAATGGGCAAAATCCGCAAAAAGGAGGAAAGTGGATTCGAGCAGAAAATAGGATAAGTAACCTGCGCGATACGTATTTCTGCTGGTTGGCTTCATCAGGCCCGAAATGAATGCACATATGAAACTACAAAAGTAGATACACATGCCCACACATCCGGATACGGATGTAACCTGAGGAAACGAAGTTGGAGGGAAAAACTACAATGTGTAGGTTGGCTCTTGTTGTGGACTTCGTGTGTCGTTTTTTTTTTCCTCCAACTTCGTTTCCTCAGGTTATACCCGTATCCGGATGTGTGGGCATGTATATCTACTTTTGTGGTTTCTTATGTGCATTCATTTCGGGCCTGATGAAGCCAACCAGCAGAAATACGTATCGCTCGGGTTACCTATCCTAGTTTCTGCTCGAATCCACTTTCCTCCTTTTTGCGGATTTTGCCCATTATTTTCTCACTTGTTGTTATATCTATATATATATATATATCGGATTCTCATCAATATGTCCATAATTGCACAATCCATGCCTATGCTGATGATACTCAAATTTATTTTAGTTGTCAACACAAAGAATTTAAAATAGCAGAAGCATTGCTCAACGAAGACTTAACAAGGCTAGTAGACATCTCGTGCTCGCATAACCTAAAAATTAATCCATCTAAATATTCAGTTATGGTTTTTGGCTCAAAAAACAAAAGAACATTGATCGAAACGGAAATTAACCTTAAATTCTATGATTGCCGGCTTCCTATAATGAATGAGAGTAAAAACATGGGACTCTGGATTGACAGAGAACTAAAATACAAAAAACACGTAAATGCGTTATGTAGTGCATCATACTGCATTTTGAAGCAGTTTTATCGACATAGGCAAATAAAGCTGAAACTGTGTGAAACATTAATTATATCAAAGATCAGTTATTGTGACAGTATATATGGCGCAGCTCTATCACATAGTGAACAAAGCAAATTAAAGCGTACTCAAAATTCGTGCGTCAGATTTTCTTGCGGAATACGAAAGTTTGATCATATTTCTTATAAATTTAAGGAACTTGGTATTCTGTAGATTAAAGGCATGCAAAAACTTCACCTATTGACACTCACACATAAGGTCTTAGCTACCAAACAACCACAATATTTGAACAATAAATTAACACGATGTAGTGACATAAATCAACTAAATACAAGGAATAGGAATATGTTAGTCATACCCTTACATTCTAAAGCTGTCTACAAAAAATCATTCAGCTACAACGCTACCTATTAAATTATATAATGATCTGACTGTTACATTTCAAAACTATACATTATTCAATTTTAAAAAGAGGCTTAAACTAAAACTACAAGTCGAGGTCTGATGATGAATACAAAATTCTAAAAAAGGGCTATTCTTGTAATTGTTCTGTTTTTTTTTGTGTTGTTAATTATTTAGTAATTATTAAGAATTATGGATACATTTTTGTTGGTGGAATATTTTATTATATATATAAAGGGTTGTCCAATAGGGACGCAGGAAAGTAAACGTCAATTTGACATAGACGCCATCTTTGTTTTCTGTCACCGACATGTCATTTTGTTAGTTGAATGTTTACCATTGATCACTATGGAGTCGTATTCGATTGAAGACCGCATTAAAGTTATTCAGGAGCACTACAAAAATGGTGCAAAAATAAAAAACACGTTTCGCGCGCTTCGTGAACATTTCGGTCGCAACAACCACCCAAACTCGAGGCAACAGGTTCTGTGGCAAATTTACCAGGCTCTGGCCGGCCAAGGAGCGTTCGCACACCGGAAAATATTGCTGTCGTGAAGGAGAGTGTGAGAGACGATCCGAAACAATCAACAACGCGTCGATCCCAAGAATTGGGCATATCGAGAACCAGTCTGCTCCGCATTCTCCACCAGGATTTGAATGTACACGCCTACAAGATCCAATTGACGCAAGAGCTGCGTCGGGCCGACCATTTTTTGCGCTGAACGTTCTCAGATTGGCTCCTTGAACACCGCCAAATTGATGCCAATTTTTCATCAAAAATCGTGTTCAGCGACGAAGCGCATTTCACTTTGAATGGGACGGTAAACAAGCAAAACTGCCGCATCTGGGCGAACAAAAATCCCCGTTAGTATCAAGAGCAGCCGATGCATCCTCAAAAAGTGACTGTGTGGTGTGCATTGTGGTCAAAAGGCATCATCGGACCTTACTTTTTCGAAAATGCGGCCGGGGACGCCGTTACCGTCAATTCTGAGCGATATCACGTGATGATAGAGAACTATTTTTTGCCGCAACTTGAAGGAATGGTTATGGACGATGTTTGTTTCCAACAAGACGGTGCAACATGCCACACAACCAACGTCAATATCCATCGATTGCAGTCCTTCTTCGATGATCGCGTGATTTCGCGGAGAGGAAATGTGTCATGGCCACCAAGATCGTGCGATTTGACTCCCTTGGACTTCTTTTTAAGGAGATATTTGAAAAGCAAAGTCTACGTCAACAAACCAGCCACCCTCCAAGAACTCAAAAACAACATCATAGCCGAGATAAATGCCATAGAACCGACCATGTTGCAAAATGTCATTGAAATCAAGCCCATTTATTATTATTATTATTATTATTATTACATTATATGCTTTGGCCATCTCTAGGTAAAACATGTTACCATGTCTTGTTGTTGTTACGCTCTGAAATATGATACTGGATAATGTCTCATTTACAATATTTTTTTACGATCTCCACTGGTCGAAGTATGACAGCTTATTTGAAAACTCAGTGTTAAATTTCAGGTGCTGAAAGGTGTAGACTTAGAAATAAACGCTGGAGACACTGTAGCACTGGTAGGAAGCTCTGGATGTGGCAAATCAACTGTTGTCCAACTCATCCAACGTTTTTATGACCCTACAGCTGGAGAGGTACGATAAAAGAAAATATCCAATCAAATCTTGCGAATATGTTTCCAAGTATTCTTCTTCACGGGTCATCTCCGTTACGAAGGTAGACTATCGTCAGAGCTATCTTGATCTTTGAAGCTGCTGCACAAAAAACAGTTGAGTGAAGCTGCAACCCGACCATTCGCTGAAATTCCTTTTCCAGGAACTTTTTATTCCGCGAATACTTCACTTACTTCGATTTTCATCCCGATGATTAGTTGTAAAAGCATGTATCTCTTTCCGCGGGTAATGTGTCTTAAATATTATAATATTATTCTCGTTTTGACGGGCTCGCTGGCGTCGGCCTTCTGAGTCCACGCTCGTTCACACTGCAGCATATTGCGTAAGGATTATTTTGTTGGTCGTCCTAGAAACTTCTCTTATCTATAGACAATTCGATCCCTCTCAACGTCACTTAGCTGGGACACCTGGCGAATTCTTCGCACTCTGGGCATTTTGAGCAATCACAAAGAGGCTTCTCAATAAGCTACACGAAATTTAACATTCAACTGACACAGTAAATGTACGAAAACTGAATACTTCTTTATCACCAAACAAACGCAGCCACCACAAAAACTTAACAGAAGAACCTGAGCAGTTCATGGCAAGATAAACAGATATGTAAAAAATTCTTGAATTCTAATGAACATACGAAGGTGTTTACCTTTTCTTGTCGCTCAGTATATGTTCAGATTTCAAAGAACTGTACTTTGTTCATGGAGGGTCCATACCTTTACTCGATATGAAAGCACCGAGATTACAGCGTTTAAGCATCCTTAATCTGAAATTTAAGGTAAGACTTCGACTGCACAACATATACCTTATGCTGTTTAATGAACCCCATACTTTTTCTATTCTGATCACAATTTTCTTTGTGCAATCTATTGATTCGTAGCGTAAGTTCTCAGGTAGCCAGTCACTCACTTTATCCATCTGCAGTTTTTTCACATATACATAGGTTGGTATTGTGATTATCATGATTTTGTTTTCTTAATGTTTAGTAACAACCCCACCTTTTCACTTACTAGCGATACTTTCTTCAACATTCGCAGAAGATTGGCAATATTTTTTACAATAAATACGGTATCATGAATGTATATAATATTGCATAAAGGGTGCCCATTTATTTCGTACCGCCTGTTTCGTCTTGAAGCGCGCTCTTGAAGAGTTCTTCAACATTCTACATTAACTGTCTAGGGCATTAACTGGCAACCATGTCAAATACACAACTTGTTATAATTTCAATTGCAAGTAAGCGTTTGTTTCTCTTATGTTACTAAAGTAAATCGTGTAATATTCCGCGTTGAGGCCTATAAATTAAATATCAGTGGCATGACATACAGGTTTTGCGAATAACTTATGTTTTCATAAAATTGTAATAATAATAGTATAAGTTTACTCACGTATTTGCGTGTACATAACAAGAGAAAATGATCATTCGGCGAAAGGTATACAACACAAAATAGGAAAATAATGGGCATAATCCGCAAAAAGAAGGAAAGTGAATTTGAACAAAAAATAGGATATGTTACCCAAGCAATACGTATTTCTGCTTGTTGGCTTCACCAGTCCCGAAATGAATGCACATATACAACCAAAAAGGTAGATACACACGCTCATAGTTCTGGATGTGGGTGTAACCTGAGGAAACGAATATGGAGAGGGGAAAAATGACACACGAAGTCCCCAACAAGAGCCAACCAATAAGAGTCATCAAAAGTAGATACACATGCCCATACATCCGGATACGGGTGTAACCTGAGGAAACGAAGATGGAGAGGGAAAGAATGACTCTTGTTGAGGAGTTCCTGTGTCTTTTTTCCCTCTTCATCTTCGTTACTTCAGGTTACACCCGTATTGCGATATATGAGCATGTGTATCTACTTTTGTGGTTGTGTATGTGCATTCATTTCGGGCCTGATGAAGCCGACAAGCAGAAATACGTATCGCTCCGGTTACCTATCCTATTTTCTGCTCCAGTTTACTTCTTTTTGCGGATTTTGCCCATTACTTTCATATATTATATATATATATATATATATAATATATGAATATGAATATATATATACAGGGTGGCGCATCGAAAAGGAAACAGACGCATTTACCAGCAGCTCAGCTTTTTTTTAGAAAAACGCTCAGACCCGTCGATTTTGTTTTCGAGGGGGACACAAGTTTGGCAAAAAATCACGTTAACACGTGCCCCTGGGCGGGGGTGACACCAACCCTAAAATACTAAATGGAAAGGAGGGGTCGAGTGATACCTTATTTGAAAGGTCTTTTAATTCCCTTTATAATGATATAAAGTTACTGTACTTCAGTTCAGTAGTTTTGAAGATTTACGCCCATGGTTTGTTTATCAATTTGTTGTTGAAAATAGCTATTGGAGCGTTTTTTTTTTTGTGGCAAAAAGTTATTTCTTGGAGAAAGGTAAGGAAATATCTCGTACTTATTTTAAATAGGAATTTAGTACATAGTTTGCGATCGATTTGACCAAACTTTGTTGCTAAAATAACTTGTAACGCTTTATTACATAAATTAACCATGGTATATTCCACAGCAGAAAGAGTTGAAATTATCGAAATATTTTTCGGAAATAATCAATGCGCTAATAGAAAATTCGGGAAACCGGGTCAGTCGCTAATAAAAACCTCAACATTGAAAATCCGATAAGGAACGAAGCAATAGAAGTGGGGGTTTTAGAGCAAGTTTATGTAGATCCTACGTTAAGTACCCACAAATTGGAGACTGTGTGTGGTGTTAATCGACTTAGTGTCCAACGGATTCTAAAGGCCCATAGTTTTCATCCGTATAAAATTCACCTGGTACAAGAACTTAATAAAGACGATTTTGATCGGCGATTACCATTTTGTGAAGATATGAGTGAACGAATTATAAACGACATTTTCTATTCAACACTTGCTTTTCCGACGAATGTTCATTTTTCTTAAATGGCATAGTAAATCGATATTGGTCCGATTCTAATCCCAGAATTTATCATGAGGTTCTTACACAGCAGCCACAAAAATTAAATGTTTGGGCTGGTATTTTTGGCGATCATTTAGTTGGTCCTTTTTTCTTACCTGGAAATTTGACCGGTGAAATGTATTTGGAATTACTGGAAGACGCCATAGATCGTGCATTAACAGCCATAATTGAAAATCAGAGTGATCGGCAGTACATTGCGATTAGGTTGATGTTCCAACAGGATGGTGCCCCACCACATTACGCATTACGTGTTCGACAATATTTAGATCAGACGTTTCCAGATCGATGGACTGGTAGAAGAGGTGCCATTGAATGGCCCCCAAGATCGCCAGATTTATCACCTTTGAATTTCTTTGTGTGGGGTCATTTAAAAAGCAAAATGCGACAAAGAATTGTGAATGAGTGCCTTCAAATTACTCGTCAAATATTGCAAAATGTGCGGCAACGTTTTGACCAAAATCTTTATTATTGCTTGGAGAGTCATGGTGGCCATTTTCAACATTTACTGGCCTAACGGGTCAGTTCATTCTTCATTTTTAAATTACTTTGCTGCCAAATGTATTGATCTCCACTAATGATGATGTATTAGTTTTATTTAAGCTTTACATCAATAAATCTTCAAAACTACTAAACTCAAGTACATTAATTTTATATCATTATAAAGGGAATTGGAAGACCTTTAAAGTAAGGTATCACTGGACCCCCCTTTCCATTTAAGATTTTGGGGGTGGTGTCACCCCCGCTTAGGGGGCTGTACGTGCTAACGTGATTTTTTGCCAAACTTTTACCCCCTCGAAAACAAAATCGACGGGTCTGAGCGTTTTTAAAAAAAAAACTGAGCTGCCAGTAAATGCGTCTGTTTCGTTTTCGATGCGCCACCGTGTATATACACAAATAGACTGAAATAATCCCACAGAAGAATGCAATTCTTGTGCGTGGGAAAACATTTTTCATAACAAGTTTTGCTTTGAACACTAAATATAGTTAATACATAAATTTAAGCACAACATATAACCATAAATGTAAAAGTAATAACATTACATTTAAAACCTAATTAACTTTCATTCGAGAGAATTTTTTTGTCTCAATTTTGAGTCTATTTTCATTTGAAATGGATTTTATATGGCATTGTAAAAAGTTATGATCTAGTGGAACGGTAACTGAAGCATCTTTGACCTGCATTTTTTGTTGTAAATAAATCACACTTTTCGCTGGTGCTTTCGGATTTATGAAAACCGAAGTTGTTCTTGAAACGTGTATGTCTTTTCATAGCTGGTTAACTTCTGTGGCCCTACGCGGAGTATTACATGATTTAGTTCAATTTTATTCTAACCTCAAATTGCATATTTGGCCAATCGTGGACGTATTTGATACGGTTGCCAGTTATCTAGACAGCGTCCCCTTCAGCATAGTGTTATTATACTTCAATTTTTCCAATCTCCATAGATTACACTCGATGGGCAAAATTTGAAACAGTTGAATCTTACTTGGCTAAGGAGGCAAATTGGATCTGTGGGTCAGGAACCAGTATTATTTGCTGCGACCATACAAGAAAATATTAAGTATGGAAATCCTGGAGCGACTGATCAAGACATTATTGAAGCTGCTAAAAAAGCCAATGCTCATGGGTTTATAACGAAATTGCCAAACGGGTTAGTAAATGCAGTAATAGTAAAAGTTAAACATAGAAATCTAGTTTATATCTGCCTTTATAGTTTCACCTGGATGTCACTATAATGACTCCTTAGGTAGGTATCTGTTGAAAGCTCATAATGAGTTACTAGACTAGATTAGGTAATATTGCAGGACCTTTCCTGCTAGCTTGATAGCATAAACTTACAGGGTGGCCCAACGAAAAGGTCGCACCCCTATTTGTGACTCTCCTGGTATATTTTGGGAGAAACGCTCAGGCACGTCAATGTTGATTTCTAGGAGGACATCTTTTCATCTTTAGCCGTACAATACAGGGTGATCCAAAAATAAGATATTGCGTCACATTAAAGTTAAAGTAAAAATCAATTTACTATAAATATGTAGGTCAATGTGATGGTAAGTGCTGAAAGTGGTGTCCGTGCAATAATAAAGATTTTGTTCGAATCTATTCGTCACATTTTCAAGCATGTCTTGAGTTATTTGTCGAATGCCGCTGACGAAGATCTTAAATGAAATCAGCCTTCGTATTAAAAATTTTACTTTTCTAATGCCCCAACAGAAAGTAATCTAATGGACTTAGGTCCAGAGATCTCGGCGGCCATTCGATGGGGCCTCGTCTGCCCGTCCACTGCTTCGGGAAATGAGTGTCCAGAAACTGTCGTACTGGAGTCCAACCTTCTATCAAAATCGTCTTCATTAAGCTCTTGAACACGTTTCATCTTGTATGGGTGACATTTATTGTTTTGCAAAATTATTTGTACTGTTGAGCGTGTGAATCCAGTTCACGAATGCTTCGGGTGTTGTCATGTGCTACGTTATTTCTACCCTTTCTTGAATTGAATAAGCCATTGTTTAATACTTTTCACAACTAGGTAGGTAACTTAACAATATGAAATGAAACACAAAATTATTCTATGACATACGATGACGCTGGCTGATGCTGAATGTTCTTGCTGGTATCTATGATGTTTATTTTTGCCGTGAATTCCATTCAAGTCAAGTCAGTCAAGTCATCGTTGGTTGTCAGAGCGGTCCGTGGGACCTTTGCTCTTGAGTCACAGTGTCAGTTTGTAAGTCTGTCAGGTCTGGTAACCCAGAAACCAGACAATTTTAAGGAAAAAAGGGGAAGGAAAGGAGAGAAGGAAGAACGAGAGCAAAGGGGAAGAAGAGAATCTTTTAGGATAGGCAGCGTTTAGGCATTGTTAAAATCACTTCACAGATTTTGATATGGTCTAAAAATATTTTTTTTTTCTAAAGATTGTGTAAAAATGCTCCAATTTTGGTTGTTCTAAGTTCACGAGTTAATTTTGATTACATTGCGAGCCGTGGCCTTTTGTGCTTGCGAACTTGCTCGACTGTGTAGTCCACTGACTCACGCAACAGAGGGTTGCTGTGCGATTCCGCTAGGCTATAGCGCCGCTGCGCCTGTTGCTTAATGTAGTCCTTTAGGTAATGGACATCGAGGTCTCTATGTAGAGTTTCGTTAGAGACATACCATGGGGCATCAGCAATAGTGCGCAACGTCCTGCTTTGCAGAACCTGCAGATTTCGCATGTGTGTTTTAGCAATAAAACACCAAACCGCACATGCGTAAGTCATTGCTGGTCTTATGACCACCTTATAGAGTCGAATCTTGTTAGTCAAACTTAATTTTGACCGTTTACATAATGATGGGTAAAGCTGCCGAAACGTAATTTGGAATTTAGTTTCTAGCGCTTCCATATGGTTCCGCCAAGTCATTCCTTTGTCCAGAATGACACCGAGATACTTAGCGGAGGATTCCCATGGTATACGAAGTCCATTCATTGAAACTTCAGACGGAACGCCGCGACGTCTTTTTGTACAGTAGATTGCCTGCGTTTTCGAATGGTTTATTTTAATTAGCCACCGATCCGCCCAATCTAATACTTCCTCCACCGCACTTTGCAGCCTGTCATGGACTAGGTCACCAGACCACGACTGAGCCACCAATGCAGTATCGTCAGCATAGAGATAGACTTCACAGTTGCTGGGACTAGGGACGTCATGGATGTACAGTGAGTAAAGGATAGGTCCAAGGACCGAACCGTGAGGGACGCCGGCTGTAATCAGCCGTGTTGTCGACAGGACGTTGTCAATTTTGATCCGAAATTTCCTACCTTCAAGGAAGGATTCAGTAGTTTTAGAAGCCAAAAAGGGAAGCCCTTTTGGATTAGTTTATAGAAGAGGCCCGCGTGCCACACCTTGTCAAATGCTTTTGAGACACCCAAAAGCAAGATGCCAGTACTTTCGTTAAGGATGAATCCTCTGGTTACACGTTCCACTAGCCTAACCGCCTGTAGCTCCGTACTATGTTCAGACCGATAACCGAATTGCACGTCAGGAATCACATGGTGATCTGACGAGAAATTCTCAAGGTGACGTAGAATCACCTTTTCAGCAAGCTTAGACGCAGCTGACAGCAGGCTAATGGGACGATAATCCTGGGGAAATATCGAACCCACCTTCTTTGGAATCATTATAACTTCAGCGGTCTTCCACGCGGATGGGAAGTACTGGATCCTTAGCATGGCATTGACTATTGCCACGAGATAAGTTAAGGACTTCCGCGAAAGCAGCTTCAGCGCCTTATTAGTGATTTGATCCTCCCCAGGTGCTTTACGCACTTTAAGGTCTTTAATATGACCTTGAATCTCTGCTGGTTTGCAATGCGGGATCTCAGGAGATACCGCTGATGTGCTAAGCAAATCTTCGGTTGAAGAAGCTTCTGAAGAAGAACCTTCTGATGAAGAAAAATCACCAACGAATGCGCGACTGCCACTGACGCCGTTGGCCCTAAAATATCTCCTGACAGATCTTACGATGTGTTGCTTCTCGTCGAGGTCATTATCAAGATCATAATTGGGAGAGAACTGTCTTTCCATGGCATCGGCGAAAACCTCAACCTTCTCCTCTGTCCTTAAGACAATGCCTCCAGGACCGTGAATGTGTGGGATTTGTTCACGCTTTCCGTTTTTGAGCGACTTCGCCACCTTCCAGAGAAGAATGCTTGAGTCAAGCATCCCCGCCAGAAAGTCGTTCCATTGCTCATTGCGGAATTCATGAAGAGCATTTCTTACTTCGTGAACAAGATTCGTCGCTCTGCGAATGTCATCAGGATGACAAGACCTTTTCGCTTGAATAATTGCTGCTCTTTTATCAGAAATTTTCTGACGAATGTCTGCTGGCAGAAAAGGTCTGCCGTGTCGCTGCACGGGAAGTACAGCTGCACGCTGCAGAGTTTGCTGAACAAAACTTGTCACTCTGCTTGAGCCGCATCTATACCGTTCTCATCATCTATGATCGGTGTATTGGGGAACTCTTTGATGAGCGACTTGTATAGCTCCCAATCAATGCGTTTCCTTGGAGGGATTTCATCCCCCAAGATCTGCTCATTAGCCACATCCAAAACGACGGGAAGATGATCGCTTGAGATGTCATACATGATTCGAGAAGTGATACTGTAGCTACAGTTTTTGGATAATGCCAAATCAAGAACATCAGGTGCCTGAAGGTGATTAAATGGGTGGTGCGTCGGCTCCTCAGTACTATGTATGAGGTAGCCATTTCGTATCACATGGTTGTACAGTCGGATCCCGCTGGTGGAATTCAACCTGGAATGCCATGCTCGATGTTTGCAGTTGAAGTCCCCTGCCACAATAAGTGGACCCGAGCAGTCGAAAAGGACTTCCAGATCCGCCTCTTGCAGCCTGTTACCACACCTGACATACACCGATGTGATTTTTAACGGCACACCTTCCGTCATATTGACCACCACGGAAACCGCTTCGATGCTCTGCATGTCAGCGTTTGTGCTTCCGTGGTAGTCAATACCGCGTTTCACTAGCACTGCCAAGCCGCCACCCCGTCCAGTCAATCTATCAGCCCGGATAACATCGTAATTCGGATGAATTTCATTATTATCAGTATTAATTTAAGTTAGTCGAATTCTATTATTAACTCAAATTGCTTGACAACGACTGAAGACAGGTATAAACTTTATTGTACAAAATTACTAAAAATTGACATGTCCGATCGTTTTTCCTAAAATATACCAGGACAGTCGCAAATAGGGGTGCGACCTTTTCGTTGGGCCACCCTGCATACTGTCTAAACCCCTGTAGCCAGCCTTTATTTTCAAATCAAACTCCATAGCCTTGACACAAGGCATTGCATGTAGCTTTCTGCAAATGGATTTGTGGTTTCTCGTATTTGAGACCTTAGCCTTTCACGTTGCTGGACTATTTTGGAACTTACCGATTAAAGACTACTATCGCTAAGTGCAGCCAAAGATGTCATGCCCTAGCCTAGGTGCGATGAGCTCACGGAAAGTACTGCAATATATATTGATAGATCTAATTTTCTATATCCACAACTTGGATTACAGTTGAATTAGCCTGGACGATTACTAGAGTTACTTCAGTACGTAAAATTGTAGCGGATTTATTATGGTATAAGTAAATGTACGCCTGAAAATAGACAAACTATTGAGGTTGTATTGTTCCAATTTGTGTTTTAAAAAGGGGGCATAACAAAAAGGTACCAAAACTGGAGCATAACTTAATGGGCAAAAAATACAATGTACTGAAATGGCAGAATTTGAACTATTTTCGTATGTGCAGTTGTTTCAGTTCGTTTTAGAACAACGGTCGTTGCAGATTTCAATCGCGTAAATAACGAATATGTAACATATCGCATATATACAGGGTGGCCAAACACGTGACGTCATAAAAAAAAATTAGATTCCCCACATCGAGAGGAACCCAAATCACCCCCATATATATGGTCCGATTTTGTTTAGTTTAGGAGTTATGATTTTTTTTCGGATTTTTCGAGAATTTTTGAGTTCTGTGTTTATTTTTACCATAACTTCGTTAATAATTGTGATAAATGCCTGCTTTTTTCACGATTATGTAGCTAAGACCTAAGGCTTAACTATCATATAATCATTCAAGTCATGTAACTAATACTACTTTTTAAT